ATTTTCATGTCCTACTACTCCAAAATCAGTAAAGGCTGGTTACTGTAACATCAGTGTGGATACTTACATTCCAAATCCCTTAAGGTGCTTTAAATGCCAAAGAAACGGCCATGGTGTCAATGCATGTAAATTATCTGTTACGTGTGGTCACTGTGGTGAGAAAACTCTCACGACAGATGACTGTAACTGTAACAATCTTTACAATATGCACCAACTGCGAAGGAAGGCACTCATCTTTCTCCAAAGAATGTTCCATTTGGAAACAGCAAATGGAAATCAATAAAATGAAATGTACGCAAGACATTAGTTTTGCAGAAGCAAAAGAAAAACCAACTAGTCCAAATCTCCAAACTAACGGAAACCTATGCTTCCACCACCGTCTGATACAGCCACAGTAACCAAACCATCTGCAAGCTGTCAAACCAATTTGACATGGATCAAAACTGATTCCCCTCAGATTCTGTCGCCTGACATCAGGGAACATAGTGTGTTGCCCGCTAGAAAGGCAAGGAGTAGATCCCCAATAACCCCGACGAAATAGTACCTTCGAACATTCTACAGTGGAATTGGAAAAGACCTTAAAAATAATCTACATGAACTACATCTACTAAACCAGGATTTTCAACCATCAGCCGTCTGCTTACAAGATACATATCTGAAGCAGACAGATTCTTTAAACTTACATCAGTTCAACGCATATCATTATTATTCTGCTGCAGGTAGTAGTGTCACGGGAGGATCATCCATTCTTGTAAGGCATGGCGTTATCCACATCCCTGTGACACTCAAAACAAATCTCCAAGCGGTTGCAGTGCGACTTACTTTGAACGTTACACTTACTCTGTATTCATTGTACATTCCGACATCATCAACTCGTATGCAGGCTGATATTCAAACACTCTATGATGAATTTCCCAAACCATGTTTACTCATCAAGTTCAGCTTTGTTAGTTTAAGTTTTTTCTAGAGTTCATTCACATAGCATTCTGCAATCTGCATGGTAGAGTGAATTATTAACTCTGAGGACTGCTCAAGCTGTGGTAGTTCTGTGAATATTTACTACAGTGGAAACTGAAAAAAGATTATGTCTTGTTTTGTTAAGTACAAACAGGACATCTAGTGGCTGAAGCATTCGCTCGTCACGCCGAAGACCCGGCTTCGATTCCCCACATGGGTACAATGTGTGAACCCCACTTGTGGTGTCCCCCGACGTGGCATTGTTAAAATGTTGCTAAGAGCGGTATAAAACTAAACGTACAAAGCTTATTCAACAGGCGGGCAGAACTTGGCAAGTAATATTTGACATTCTATTTCGTTCGGATCTTGGCTATGCTTGGATTTATCCACACGTTGGATTAATAGCTAGTTGCCTTTACATTTTTACACTCTTTACCAGATTAAATGATAGGAATTCCAAAGATGGAGAAGTATATAGCATGTAGCAATAGATGTGAATGTTATAAACGTTTTTATACTAGTCTTGAAGCAGAGAAGTATTTGATAGACTCAACCTTGTGTACATTTGCTACCCAATTTGCTCATGCTGGTGTTATTGATACCCAAGACATGATAAAATTGTAAAAGCTGATTGAATATGTGCATATTTACATAGTTTAAACAATATCGAAGATCTCTACCATGTCACCCTGATATGTTCATATAAAAGACACCCGGAAGCAATACATATATAAAGACCGTTGCTGCAGCTAAAGCAGCCCTTGACAACCCGTTATCTCCACTGCTTATCCCGTCGTATTGTGATCTTAAACCTACTATCAAAAGTTATACTATGGGCCTTATGCAAAAAAGGTGAGACACCCAGTTAGGAAGAAATTAACTCCACGAATATAAAAACAACAATCGGTTACACCTACTTGGGTTGTCAGTCAAGACGTGATTCGGTGATTTTACGATGATGTCGTATTGGCCTCAGTCGGTTTCCTCATGACTATATCACTCTAATTAAGCCACCATGACTCAATTGGCCAATCAAATTCAGTGGAATTTCAGAGGACTAAAGAATAACTTCGATGGAATACAATTACTCATACAAGATCTTCAACCGTCAGCATTGTGTCTCCAAGAGAGATATCTTAAAAATACCGATACCTTTAACTTAAGACGGTGCGGCGATTATCATTCTTTTTTTCCCTCCAAGAGATAAAGCTACGGGAGGCGTTTTGATTTTGGTACATTTTACAAGTTACATCAACTGGGCATCTGGGGAAACATCTGGAAACCACTGCACTGCAGTTATACAAATAGTTATGCTTTTGTAAGATATAAGGGTGAAAACTCTGACAGGTATCCTGTTAAGCAAGGTGTTAGCCAAGACAGAGCCATGTCGTCCTGGCTCTTCTTAGTGTTTATCAATGATTTGATTTCTACTCTGAGACAGGCTAGTAATGGCCTAAGTGTGTATGGCCTGAGTGTTCCGACTATATTGCTTGCTGATGAAACAACACTTGTTAGTACTTCACCAAAGGGACTTCAAATTGCTCTCGATACTATACATACATATGCCAATAAATGGCGCTTAACATACAATCCTGCAAAACGCACAGTAATCATTTTTAATAAAAGTAAACGTAAAGTTAAAACTGTAAACTACACTTTTGGCAATGAAAACATTGCATCAGCAGATTCCACTACTTACGGCGGTATACTTCTAACGTCTGATTTAACATGTAAATCTAGAATTGAAAAGTGTTGTCAGAAAGCAAGACAAAGTGTTAATTTCCTTAAATACTTGGGGCTGAATAACACTGACGTACATCCAGCTACCATAGAGCTATATAAAGGCTGGTTGTTGAGTTGTGCGGCACGGATTTACCACATGACTGGAGTCATACACATCTGTTTGCCGTCATTAAGCTGATACACATCTGCCTGCCATCGTCGAGTCTTTCCACATTTCAAGACCGCGTTGGTCTGTTCAACATGTCATTGTAAACAACTTTCAATCAGTATATCTCCTCTCACCGTTAATGTCAAGACGCTGGTGAGTTGATATTTTAGATTTGTGACCCAATATTTTAGATTTGTGACTCAATTGGATTGTACTAGATATCTGTATTGTCATTCATTGGAGCTTGCTCATTGTTTGGTCAATATATTATTGAATATTTTAGACTTTTCTGTGTTCTATTTTGCCGGTTCCAAGGCGACTCTTAAACCTTTTGTCACAGCAACTTTATTTACCGTAACAATAAGGAAGTGGTCATTTCTAGTGCTATTTTATGTTATGTTATTTAAAGTTGCTTAACTTAGTGCTATAAACTTTGTATGTATAGAAATGTTATATGAATGTGTTTTATTTATTATGTAGACAATAGAAACTACCGTCCCAATGAATGTTTAAATAAAAATTATATTTCACAGCATGAATCTTGTCCACTTATTTTCCGGTGAACATTTTAGCATTAACCCTACCGTTGTAAAACCATTGACTGTCCAATGTCTACACCCCTGCAAACCGACCAGTTTGTTCTAACACCCACCCAAAGGTCGGACTTACGGGACCTAACCGTCTCCATAACCTGTTGCTGCTGTGTAATCTTAAACTTTCATCGTTTCAAAGACTTCAAATATAGTTTTCTCTTTTCCAAAGCAATGAGAGTTGGAAACTGAAATATCCACTATTTTCTGAGTAAAGTGTCGATTCTAGTACTTTTGTTTCTAGAATGTTAAACCTTTCGAATACATTTAAAGATAGATCATCTTGAAAATTTTTGTTCACCCTCCATTGGATTCAATGTTGTTACTGCGATTTTAAGCATTTTTAGATTTTATTCAATGACCTCATACCTCGTTTCAAATCGATATGTCACCTGATGACGACCATAGTAAATATTTTATTTATTTCAATGAATGAAAAGAATGTTTTACTCAGACTGAAGCTTTTGTCTTCCAACATCTTTTCATCTCAACCAACCACTTGAAATATTCCAAAACATTACTTTTGTTCCACACACCATAGATCATATAGCAAACTCACCTTGATTTCATGGGACTTATCGCATGTGTGGATCTTTATAGATGATCTACTTTCGGGCAGTAACAACTCAGGTAATTATTATATGTTGTTTGCCACAGTAGTACTCACAACAAAGAGCTGAAGACTTCCTGCCTACTCATCCGCAGAGATGTAGGCAGGAAAATTCCATTAGTAGCAATGCTCGTTATGGATAGTTGAGACTAGTGGACGTATGTTCTGTACTCAAAGGTTTTATTGTGTGACGAAAGCCGAAGAAAGGGATTACTAGCACTGATGAAATAGAGGGCATGTATGGCGACTACAGAAAAACCTGGGACTAGTGGACTTTACCCTAACATATATAGCACAGGGAGTTGAATGCAAACGAAAACGCAAAATACCCCCAGAAGTTCTAATGGTAGCTATTAATGCTCCCGAAGTTTCTGGGATAATGACTACTTGACGTTCAAATCAGCCTTTTTGTTACGATATTGCCTGAACCCACTTTGTTTATGTCAAGATCTGCTTTTTCCACAAAAATGGTAGTCTGACATTCGTTAGTTTAATCGTACTTTGTGAAGAATGATGATAATTTTATGGATATACAACTTCTATATTCTGTGAAAGGCGACGTTTCGACACAGAATCCAATGTTGTTGTAAACAAGAAGTTGTATATCCATAAAATCATCATTTCAACTTATAAAATGCGCATGAAAGATGTGTTTCAAGTGTAATTTTGTGACAGTCTAGTTATTTTAGTGTCCTTTATTGACAAATGTTTATATTGTCCAAGTATGTTTTTATTCATATACAAATGTCATAGTCACTATTTGGTTGAAATACTGCCGATGAGCAAATTCACTCATTTGTGTACCTTTTCCAACAAGAGATTTTGGCTGCTCCGGGATGGAACAAGCAACATGATTTAGATATTGAGACGTCTTTAGTCCGAACAAGTAGACATTATGATTTATGTAGAAGTCGTGCGATAAACTAAATGAGCGCAGATTCCCTGAACATACCTTAAGGTTTCTCCATCTGGATCACTGACCTCAGGTGCAGCCCAGTGTATTGTTGTTGTGGTCTTTCGTTTGTCAGCAATCCAATTGCTTTTTATACTTGGGCAGGTTATGGTAGGTGGATGATTTCGATCTGAAAAGAGATCATTTTCCTTAAGCGTTTGCTTTACGTTTTACTTTTCTCTGAAAATGCTGTTATTTACCATTTAACTAAGGAAGGATATATCTACACATCGGTGTTACAGTTATTTTAATTATAACATATCCATTCACACATCAACAATCATGCTCATCTTAAATAAAATAATGGTACAATTCTAAATTTAACAAGTACATTAATATTACGCGTACTACTGCATTTACATTTATTGAATATGATTACCCATTGCTTATCTTTACGTGATCGTGATACGTATTCAGTATGCGTCATAACCCGGTTCTGCTATGGTATATATCAATATCTGTTTTTATTATAAGGTAACATAATTGTCCCCCAAAGAGGGTATGTAAGTTCCACGCCATTTGAGGTATTCATAAGCATGTCAGCCTTTTAAATGCAGTATATTTGTTGTTGTAAATTTGGGTTAGACTCATCATAAGGGGAACGTGATAATGCATCTAGGGTCCATACAGGTAGCAAAAGTGAGTGAGTGAGTTAACATTTATAGTCACATGGGCAATATTTCAGCTATATTGATATGTAAAAAGTTATAAATTAACAATATACGCAATTGAATTATAAAAACCTGTCGATAAAGGTCAGTAAAATATCTAGACTATCACAGTTAGAGATGTTACAGATGTAAAACTAGCAGGTAACTTTTAAAATAATAGACACAATACAATATAAAAACGGGCTGGAGAACACAAGCAACTGAAGGTAGATCACTATGCTAGGGACCATTGGGTCTTACGGCACCTCTGCTACCTGCATGGACCCTAACTAGATTTACATCGTCCCTTCATATGCTGGTGATCTTGCAAAAATTAGCCCAAAATTATGAGAACATATATACTACGATTAAAATCACGGACAATGAAAAATACTTTAAATGAAATGGGACTTACATACCCTTTTGGGTATTTTGGGGTAATTTTTAGCTACCCCCTTTGAGGTGTAACAATGAATGCAGAATTTTATATTAAAAAAAACATTTTATAACAAAAACCAGCATCTTATGTTTTCAATTTTAGGCACAGTTCCTATACTGTCTTGGCGCGAAACCCTAGGCCTTCTTTACGGGTGTTACGAAAATTGTCACGTCATATGCACACGTAATCTCTGCCATTTCGTAGTGCTGCTCAGCTCACTTTAGGCCGGCTTCGACGCCACGTCGCATCTCTGCAGAGGAATTTAAAATTTATCGAAACTTAGCCCGGGACGTATGGATTTCCACATCGCATCTCTTTGCAGGAATTTATTTTTTAAATCGTGAGTACGACCATTTTTGAAGTTATTGCAGGCTATCTATACAGATGGGCATTTTCCACTAGTTACCACACAGTGGTACATAGCATCTTGTAGTTAAATGTAAGAAAAAAGGTTAGAGGCCAGATATTGTTGATTTGACTTGTTTTTCAGACAACAGACGTGACCCAAGACAATTTCTCCAGTAGGGACGGAGATAAGAGACTCGGTCATGAACATTAGATACAGAACACTTCTTAAGGACCTTGGTTTCATGTGTAGTATCTGGGTCACTGCCACTGGTCAACACATATCAAGTGACTTGGAACGTTGTGCTTTATTATAAACGTCAGAACTTATCGTTGGTTCTATACGTGGAGAAGTTTCTGTGAACACTCACTTAATCGCGCCTAACATAAACCAACTAGCATATATTTTTGCATAGAGTTAGTGAGGAGGACGCCCCTTTTTATATTATATTATTATCCCCCGCCGCGCGTTTAGCGCGGAGCGGGGAATATAGTATTGGGCTCTGTCCGTACGTACGAATTGGAATATCTTAAGAACCGTTCACTAGATTCTTTTCATAATTGGTACCTAGGTTCACCACAGTATAAGAAAGGGCCAAGTCACCTTTAACTGGATTTTCTTCCTATTCAATACAAAGCTTTATCTAGGGAAGGCGCAGGACCCAGTCGATATTGGTGACCTTCACATAAGTTTCAAGGTCATGGCGACACTTTGATGATTTCAGCATATTAACCTGCATGTTAAGCTATCTCAAGAACCGTTAACTGGATTTTCTTCATATTTAAAACCAAGCTTTATCTAGGGAAGGCACAGGTCCCAGTCGAATTTGGTGACCGTCACTTAATTTTCAAGGTCACAGAGACAGTTTGAAGATTTCAGCATGTCAACCTGAATTGTCAGCAAGATATTTCAAAAAACAGTTCACTGGATCTTCTTCAAAGACTTTCAAGACTTCCAATAAATGTTTGTCAAAAAGCAATTTCTTTAGTACAATTTTTGCATATTTCATACACTATGACATTCATGTCAAAGTCAGTCTTGAAAATATGTGTGTTTGAACACCTAAAGAGCAAGACATCAAGAGAGGTTGACTGGTCATGTTTTTGTTGACATTTAACTTAAACTTTCATTACTTTATAAGTTTGATTTGATAATTTGCGGCGGGGCATTATGTCACCTTAGTGACAATGCTTGTTTTTTATTTATTTATTTTTTCTCCCAGACCCGTCGTCGGGTGGGGCATAGTGTTCCACTATTGTGGCGCGGGATTCCCCACCTTTGTGGCCTATTTTTTACATACATTTAATTCTTACGGTATTTTAATTTTCATTAACAGTTAATAAACGTTGTCCGCCTTGTGCAGGCCTATACAACAACAATTTATGTTGTTAGAATTTTCCACAAATGAACTTGACGTTCTCGGGTGATACTGGTTTTGAGTATAGATGCAGAATTTTATAAAAATTAATTTTATAAGAAAAACCAACATCTCATGTTTTCAATTTCTCGGCACAGTTCCCATACTGTGTTGGCGCGAAACCCTAGGCCTTCTTTACGGGTGTGGCGTAAATTGTGTAAATCTCTGCCATTTTGAAGTCTTGCTCAGTCCACTTTAGGCCGCCTTCGACGCTACATCGCATCCCTGCACAGGAATTTACAACCACCTCCTCCTCTCTTTCCCTATACCTTTGTATAGTTCTATGGCGCGGGCTTCCCCAACTTTGTGGCCTATTTGTTATAACCATCTAATTATTACAGTAATTATATTTTCATTAACAGTTAATAAACTTCGTCCGCCTTATACGGGCCTATACAACAACAATCCATGCTGTAATAACTCTCGGGTGATACTTGTTTTGAGTATAAAAGTTATTTAATCATTCTCACAAATTAAAATGAATATACTAAATACAATACACATCAAAATTTATCAATTAAATTAAAAAAATTTAAAACTCAATGATTAACGGAAGATGTACATTATTAAAAAGATTTTTCATCGTTTTTACACTGAAATACTTATCCCATGCTTGACCGAGATTCTTTCATCTCGGGGATGCAAAAAGGAGGATCTTCACCTTTTAATAAATACTCATGAGTATACCTTGTATGGCAAATGCGACAACTTCGTATACTGACCTCTTGAAATCGAGACTGCCAATCCAAGTAGGTGTAACCGATGGTTGGTTAAATTGCATGTAATTTATATATACCTACTTGGGTGTCCCACTTCTTCTGCATCAGATCACGGATGTAAGATCTAGTGATAGCTTTATAATAAGAGTATGGAATAACAAGTGGTGTCATAGATTTGTTGTGTGTTGCTTTAGCATCAAGATCGGCCATTGTGTTCCCGGAAATGCCAACGTGGCTGGGTAACCAAGAATTTTATTCCAAAGCAAACTTACAAAGGAAAATGACTGTTGCACACGTGGTTTGGCGGTCATTTTGGATTAAACACATTCAGAGGAAATGTAGTTTTTTAGGCTTAGGCATTTTCCACAATTTGTAGCTCTGAAAGTTCGAAAATTTGCAGACATTGTCTCTATACGTTGAACAAGAACAACATATGGTTGTTTTGTGATATTTTGAATAGTTATTTATATATTGTTATAGTTATTTATATGTTTGCTTTTGTTGTATATTTTCTCATAAAATTGGTTTTCACAAGATACATCTTCTTTGTTATTCAAGATACATCGTTCGAAACTTTGTATGCGGAACATGTTCTAGTAGTTTCAGAGTATCGGTCTTTAAAAACAGCAGGGTCTTTAAAAACAGCAGGGTCTGCTCAGAAAGAGCTGAAGATTAGCATCAACCATCAGTATCAGACGTTAAACATATTAAGTTCTTCTTTATGAAAACTTGCGTCGTTTGGCGGCCATTTTCGATTGAAAACTGCAGAAATGCATTATTTGATCAAAACGGCATAAAACAGCACATATCTCCGCCAGTATTGATTCAATAGTTTCCATATTTTGGTATGTGATCATTTTTGGGTAATCTCCAGCCGTTTGGCCGCCATCTTGGATTTAGGATTTGTATTTTGGGGGTTGCCATAGCAACAAAAGTTGAAAAGCGAATGGCTCGAATGTTAAGGCATCAGTTGGCACAGTGAAGGTGATGCAATCTAAGCACTGCACGTCCAATAATATCGGAGAAAAGAGGAGTTTGACGGACAGAAATGCGGACAGACGACAGCCATCACATACACTAGATCTGGGCAAAGCAGGAACACTAATTGCTTTCAGCTGCGTATTCGCTCTCCAAAAATAAAGTTTCCTCGGGATGAACCGCTTAAATGACCTTGACCTGTGTCCTTGACCTTACGAAATGTTTTTCGGCCTGCTATCAAACCCCGAAAACCACAAAACGGACAGCTTGATAATGTAGCCTATTATGTTCTGCTTTAACAGAAATATGTATGTCAACGAAACTTGAAGTCCTTAATACTGACCTTCCACTAACTGGACTTTTATGATTCAGTAATATCGTTTGCTATGAAATTCATAATGTATTTCTTGTAGTTAAGCGTCTGGCAGATTTATACTTCGTAAAAATTGTAGTACTTTGTGAAAACGTCGGTTATTGCTTACTGGGAGGTTGCTTGGTGTAAGGCAGCGTGAATGCACAGAGCATAAATGTTGCGGCGGGATGACATAATAATTTTTACCTTCGTTTCCACCGCCATCTCCACAGCTGATGCACTTTTTTATTCCTGAAATAAGAAAATGCCATGTATATTTTCTGCATCCATTTACTGCGTCATCATTACACAAATTCACGCTTATAGGAATTGTTATGTTTAATGTCACATCGCCGATATTACATGCATATCATGGCGAGAATAGTTTATACATTAAAATGAACCAAATTAGACATATATACGTCGTGATTATACAGTAAAAGTAGAACTACAACTATCACTAATTGTTGCTTAAAACTAGCATGTTATCATAAAACGATACCACTATAGAGAACGATACAACATGAAAACGAGCCACTAGGGCACCAGCAAGTAAAGGTAGATACTATGGACCCAATCTGGGTTTAAAATCATACCTTCCAAGGGCGTAGCTACCATTGTAACAAAAGCCCGGGCTTACACATGATTGCTGCTAAATGGTTGGGCAAGCCCTCAGTGCTATGTAAATATATAGCTTTGCAACCTATTGGAGTTACACGAAACAATTGGCTTACTACGCGCCTGACTTCAGGTGTTTGGTGCAAATTGAACGTATATTTTACAAACATATATACTCAAAGGTACACCACACTTGTTTCAATGAGAAAAAATAATTATAACGCATTTAATATTCTATATAATGCACTTAATTCATAACCCAAACAGGGCCCTGTCGGTAGTTTTTGTTTTGCATGCGTTTTTCGTGCTTTCAATAAGTCGGTGGAAAAAGGCATAAAACGTGCCCTTTAACAAGTTTGGTTCTAAACCTCGATTCATTGTCACCCAAATCATTGTTTAGACAAGAGGCGACTAACGGGACCGGCTGGTCAAGGCTCGCTGACTTGGTCGACACATGTCATCGGTTCCCTATTGCGCAGATTGATGTTCATGGTGTTGATCACTGGATTGTCTAGTCCAGACTCGATTATTTACAGACCGCCGCCATATAGCTGGAATATTGCTGAGTGCGGCGTAAAACTCAACTCGCTCACGTATTGTTTAGACGTCGATGGGACTGTTATAAGGTTATAAATGCATCTTTTATACAAGGAATTTATAACAAACGCATTCTTGAAAATTGCGGTTATTTCGTGATAGAATTGATATCAAAGGATATACAACATAATAACTACACTCATAATAACTGGGAGTGACAGAATCAAAAAGACTCTTAAGGTATTAGTTAACGGTGAATCGCCTGTGGGTAGTTTACAGTAACGAATAAGAAATATTGTATCTGGCGGAGCAGGCTCGAACACCTTAAAAAGATACAGTCATCACTAGCAAAGTGTTGCGGGTTACAAAGTCAGCAGAACGCTTACATTGCATGCCTGCAGTTCCACATCTGATTGAGACCTTGCCCCGTCCTGTCCTGTCCTGTCCAGCCCAAACAACCTTGTCATGAGGAGAGGGATTTAGTAAACCTATGTGAGTACAGAGTCTGGTGTTGATTTAATTTTTGTATGAATGTGTGCCAGTACGTGAATGCAATTTTGTCAGTTAGGAGTCCCGGTCGTCGGACCCCTCACTCCTTGACTCAACAACCCCCACTGTCCATAATTATCCCCATGACCACTCAGTGCATCCAACTGAGCACCTACGTCAACTCAGTCCATCCGACTATTCACCCTCCACTGTACAACTTAGTGCATCCAACTGAGCACCTACGTCAACTCTGTCCATCCGACTATTCACCCTCCACTGTACAACTTAGTTCATCCAACTGAGCACCTACGTCAACTCTGTCCATCCGACTATTCACCCTCCACTGTACAACTTAGTTCATCCAGGGAGACTCTATAAGGGGGAGTGGTCACTCCTCGGAAAGCTCCTAAGCTATGCCTCAGCTCGTCACGTGACCAGTGCAGCCAATATGGCGGCGGCGTAGTTTTTAAGATTGAGCCTTGTTTATTTTCAACAGCTGATTACATACGCTGAGTGTTGTGACAACTGAAAACCTACACGTAGACGATAAGTTACCTAAACTGTCACTTCATTTTAAGTGAAATACATGTTATTAGTGTCAGTATAAGTACAGTAGCTTTGTAGTAAAGTTTCAAGTGGGCATGTTGTAGCTCACTGGCTTCAATTCTCAGTACACAGCAAAGAAAGACTAAATTATATCGCTAAAAACTTCTTTCACATATTCGTTTAATTTTTAGAAGGGAAATATACCTTTAGTTAAAAGGTGTTTGCAAGTAATAGTGATATTTTTATAACTAAAAAAAATTTGTTAGGGTGTATTTGAGGTGTGTGAAAAAATGACATATCGCCGATCTGCCATTGAAATACTACAGGGCGTTGTTTGAGTGTTTCTAGTAAGTGTTCTAAAACATCTTTCACATACACCTTCAATTTTTATGAGGGGAATATACCATCAGGTGAAAGGTGTTTGCAAGTAATAGTAATAGTTTTAGAATTTTTAAAAAATTGTTAGTGTGTATTTGAGGCGTGTGAAAAATATGACATATCGCCGATCTGCCATTGAAATACTAGAGGGCGTTGTTGGAGTGTTTCTAGTTATTGTTCTAAAACATCTTTCACATACACCTTTAATTTTTATGAGGGGAATATACCATCAGGTGAAAGTTTTTTGCAAGTAATAGTGATAGTTTTATTTATTTTTTTTTGTTAGTGTGTATTTGAGATGTGTGAAAAATATGACATATCGCCGATCTGTTCTGATACGCCATTGGTGCTTGTGATGCTTGAGTGTTATAGTTCTAAAACTTCTTTCTTTCTTGTTGATCTTAGTATTTGACAAAACTGGAAAGGTGTTTGCAAGGCTTTGTGATAGTTCTAAACTTTCTGTTCTTGAGGGGTCTGTGACAGTGTCAGTTAACATTCTGTCAATGCCCATGTCATTTTCCACACATGCAATAAGATATCTGAATTAGTTACTAATGTAAAAAAATGTCTCAAAGTAGATTTTTATAAAAAGGACAGCTGATGTTTCTTTCTTGTTGATCTTAGTATTTGACAAAACTGGAAAGGTGTTTGCAAGGCTTTGTGATAGTTCTAAACTTTCTGTTCTTGAGGCGTCTGTGACAGTGTCAGTTAACATTCTGTCAATGCCCATGTCATTCCACACATGCAATACGATATCTGAATTAGTTACTAATGTAAAAAAATGTCTCAAAGTAGATTTTTATAAAAAGGACAGCTGATGTTAGCATGTGTTCTACCGATAGTTTTGCGTTCTTTAACATGTTTGGGGAGGGATGGCCGTGGTGTATCATTTATTCTTTCATTCATTCACATATGTTCTTTTTCTTTTGTTCTTTTTCTTAATTTCTTTCATTCATTCACATAAAATTCTTGCTCTTAATTCATTCATTCATTCATTGTAAAATTCCGACTGATACAATACACTGGTTGAAGTACTGTTAAACGCAGCCGAAGTTGCGCTGGGACCGAACCAAGTCACTGTGTGCGTTGGAGCATGACGAGGCACACGTTAATGAGTACAAATGGTAAAGAAAGCAAGCGAGTGACCTATCCCTGTTGTAGAGTATCCCTGGTTCATCCAACTGAGCACCTACGTCAACTCTGTCCATCCGACTATTCACCCTCCACTGTACAACTAAGTGCATCCAACTGAGCACCTACGTCAACTCTGTCCATCCGACTATTCACCCTCCACTGTACAACTTAGTGCATCCAACTGAGCACCTACGTCAACTCTGTCCATCCGACTATTCACCCTCCACTGTACAACTTAGTGCATCCAACTGAGCACCTACGTCAACTCTGTCCATCCGACTATTCACCCTCCACTGTACAACTTAGTGCATCTAACTGAGCACCTACGTCAACTCTGTCCATCCGACTATTCACCCTCCACTGTACAACTTAGTTCATCCAACTGAGCACCTACGTCAACTCTGTCCATCCGACTATTCACCCTCCACTGTACAACTTAGTTCATCCAACTGAGCACCTACGTCAACTCTGTCCATCCGACTATTCACCCTCCACTGTACAACTTAGTGCATCCAACTGAGCACCTACGTCAAGTCTGTCCATCCGACTATTCACCCTCCACTGTACAACTTAGTGCATCCAACTGAGCACCTACGTCAACTCAGTCCATCCGACTATTCACCCTCCACTGTACAGCTTAGTGCATCCAACTGAGCACCTACGTCAACTCAGTCCATCCGACTATTCACCCTCCACTGTACAACTTAGTTCATCCAACTGAGCACCTACGTCAACTCTGTCCATCCGACTATTCACCCTCCACTGTACAACTTAGTGCATCCAACTGAGCACCTACGTCAACTCTGTCCATCCGACTATTCACCCTCCACTGTACAACTTAGTGCATCCAACTGAGCACCTACGTCAACTCTGTCCATCCGACTATTCACCCTCCACTGTACAACTTAGTTCATCCAACTGAGCACCTACGTCAACTCTGTCCATCCGACTATTCACCCTCCACTGTACAACTTAGTTCATCCAACTGAGCACCTACGTCAACTCTGTCCATCCGACTATTCACCCTCCACTGTACAACTTAGTGCATCCAACTGAGCACCTACGTCAACTCTGTCAATCCGACTATTCACCCTCCACTGTACAACTTAGTTCATCCAACTGAGCACCTACGTCAAGTCTGTCCATCCGACTATTCACCCTCCACTGTACAACTTAGTTCATCCAACTGAGCACCTACGTCAACTCTGTCCATCCGACTATTCACCCTCCACTGTACAACTTAGTGCATCCAACTGAGCACCTACGTCAACTCTGTCCATCCGACTGTTCACCCTCCACTGTACAACTTAGTTCATCCAACTGAGCACCTACGTCAACTCTGTCCATCCGACTATTCACCCTCCACTGTACAAGTCAGTGATTTTAAGGAAGTTTCATTTGTACTGATATCAAGTATATATATGACACTGTATGATCTCAAAATACAACCGAATCAAAACACTCTTGTCCATAAGCAAATACATGTATTCATGTTGACGTTGATAAATCCCGCTGTATACCCCTCTGGCCAAGGACAAAAGCTTAAAGTATTTAACAGCTTCCTGTACATGAACTAGATATGACCCCAGGAGACTCCTGGATTTATAAGGACACGGAAATGAAGGGTCGGCACAGGTATACAAACACCTTTCTAGTTGTGGCAGGAAAATTCAGCATAAGCGTAACTTTTTTTTAAATCATTTGAGAATAAATTTATCATGCATCCATGCTACTCACCACATAAAATAATCACAAGGAGACATTGTAAGTGCATCCTATCTATGTTTGTCTCTGAAACATAATGGAAGTTTGTAAAGGTAATAGGGCATGTAGGAAACGACTGTCGTACTTGCTAGCGACCAGATATATCACAGAGATTACTTGTAGTCGGTTTAAATGTTTCCAGTTCGGAAGTATACTTCCATAACAATGATTATTATAAGCACCTTTCTGAAAACATCATGAAACGTGTTGCGTGAGAAGTAACTTCATAAATGATCATGTGTATTTACTTCAGTCTATAAAACTTGCACATTCTCAAACTTAGTAATTGTAATGCTAGAACACATCCGTACCAGATCATTCCTAACGAGAAACACTTACCTTTCTCGGCGGTTGCTGTTGGAGTTGTGTTCGGGGGTTCATGGATGGAGATAATATCATAGGTCAGCCAGTATCAGCTTTCGTTTCCAAGAACTCCATGACGGACCAACAACATCTGGCTGTAATTACATTGATAAACCTCAGACTCCAATTCAGCTCTGGCGATAACACCAAGCATCATATTTCACTTGCTATAAGAAAATTACTTTTATAATTTCATCTATGATTTCCTCGGAAATACAAAGGAAATTATCCATAATGGTAAGTACCTAACGATAGTAAATAGAATGTGTGTGGTGAAATGGTACTTTGTGTATCAGTATAGTTTATTTTGCTAAAAGTTAATAGTTTCATGCATAACTAGAAAATAATTATAAAGCAATACATTGAAATTCACAAACACTTATGCAAGACAGCAACGACAAGGTTATATTCCATGTTCATTACCTGAAAAATATATATAGATTGGGCTACCTGTTGGCTTTTGGACCATATGTCGATAATAGTAGACTTCTACCAGAATCTAGTGGTAAGATGTATACATGTACTATATTGTAAATATCGAGAGCAGGCTACTCTTCAGTCTCCACCGATTTGAACTTCAACACCTATACGGCACGCGTTTAAAACTGGTTCAAACAGCAAGGAAGATGTTATATACTGGCCAAATAAAGAAACTGTGCACACAGAAAATATAAAGATAGGCAGACAGTGTCTTAATGCATAAATAAAGGTGTGAACATAGCAAGTATTGGAGACAATCAAACGCTCGTGCCAGGCGAGGTGACGTCATTGATGGTGGCCTATGGACTTGCAACGTGTTACTGCACGTGCAGCCTGTGCAGCTGCTCACAACATGTGAAACTCAGAAATTGATGTCACTGTCGAAAGCTTGATCTTTGGTCATTCAAACGTTCACAAATTCACATGAAAGGTCACATGCACATCATGCCAAGATTAACATGTGCTCAGCGTCATGAAGCCATTGGAATGGTTCGAGCAGGCATGAGCCAACAACAGGTGGCAGCACATGTCCAATGCCATCGTAACGCGATATCTGCATTGGTCAGGCGTTATGGAAACAGTAATTGACGTTGCCGACCACCCACGTTTTGGGCGTCCCCGAGTAACGACGCCAAGACAGGACAGATGCATTCGGGTGACTCATATCAGACACAGGTTCCAGACGGCAGTGACCCCGTCCCAAACCATTTCCCAGGCCTTCATTTGGAAAATTTGGTAGCCTCTATGCGTCGTCGATGCACTGCTGTGCTTCACGCGCATGATGGTCATACCCGTTATTGGCTTTGTGACTTCGACGTGTGACCCCCTACTCAATTTTGAACTTCTGACGTCATCGTTACGGATATTGTTCATGTTCTTTCGACATGCTGTTAAGGCCCGATACTTCAGCTTATAAAGTGTTTACATCATGTCGTCTTTTCTGTGTTGTACTTTCCAAATCTGTGTGCACAGTTTCTTTATGTGGCTAGAATACATTTTGAAATTTTATTTTTCATATCAGTCAAAGACAATTACTGCTACCATGCAGCGTCTGCCCCTGTTTGATTTATTTTAATCTATATCATTTTTGTTCAATTACAGTTAATACAACTGGATTACCCATACAAGTAAGTGTGTGAGTGTGTTTTTCGGCATTGTCAGTCAAAGTTGGAATCTTAGAAGGGACATCGTCGAGTAAAAATTAACTGTTACTATAAACCAAACTGGCTCTCGCTCACATTGATGAATTCGCTTTGATGAGTGTAAAATGAGTCGGGCTCCATGGTCTTCATGACAGTTAGCCCCATAGATCTAGGTTATTCTTTGAGAACTGCTTCAGTTTGCCATTTCCTTCCTCGCTCGTTTTGCAATCGAACGATTATATTATTATTTCAGAGGTGTAATTTCTGGTTTGAACAATACTAATTTCACTATCTACATTAAGCCTTGTTTAATATCATACGTGTATATTGGTTATATGGGTTTTCTATCCTTTGAATGTTTTTGTTTGAACAATATTTACACCAAAAAAATTACATACTAGTATTCAGCGAAGAAGAACATATTTTTTAACCTGAGCACAAATGTTAGAAGATGAAATATAGGCATTTCTGTAGTTATCGCGTACTGTAGTTCCTGCGATTTGCAATATTCAATATTGTAATTTCATATAACCTGGTTAATGAACAGCGATTTAATTTTAACCCGATAAGTAACACTGACAATATTAATGTAAGAAAGTGATTTATATGCTTTATTAAATATATGGACAAATCAATTATGTATTGATATTATGAAGGCGGAATATCAAACTGTAACTATATTTCTACAAGAAATGGGAAAAGAATATATATCAGGCCATGTCTTTCTTTGGACAAACCTGTGACAACGTTTAAATTTCGGCTACAATTTTCCTACAATCGCCAACGGCTGGATGGATGGTGTAAATCCAACTAGGGTCCATGCAGGTTGCAAAAGTAATGTAAGTCCTCATGGTCACTAGTATGGTGATCTACCTTCAGTTGTTGGCGACTTATAGACTGTCTGTATATTGTATTGTCTTCGTAAATAAAATAGTTTTAGATTTACATGCTAGTTTTAGACACCATCTGTTATACTCTACTTATTTTACAGTCATTCGAGGACTGATTATTCAACCATTTGTATTTATTGTATATGCACAACCTTTATCGTCACTAAATGGCAGAAATATTGTCGAGGTGACGTTAATTTTTAATTCACTCATATTATGTTCTGTAAAAAAGAGCGTTAAAATCCTACATACAAACCAAGACTCTTTATACAATTAACTTAAATTAATGAGACATATACTTAACATCATAATGTAGTCTTTTTCCAACGTTGAAAAACACTTAAAACAACTGACTGACTGAGTTTGGTTTTACGCCGCTTTTAGCAATATTCCAGTATCATCTAGGCGGGGAAAACCATAAATGGGCTTCACACATTGTACCCATGTGGGAATTCGCTCCCGGGCCTTCGGCGTGACGAGCCAACGCTTTAACCATTAGGCTACCCCCACCCACCCCACTTAAAACAAGACATGGCGTCAACTAAAATGGTGTAATTATTTCAGTCAAGTCATTACATTTAAATTTAAAGATATGCCTGGTACACTGTAAATAATAATGCAAAATTGGTCAAAATACATGTACACAGACAGAATAATATTAGAATCTAAGAAAATATTTACATATTGGATAGGGCCATCCAATTCGCTATTACGTGATATCTCCTGTTGTATGATTTCAACATTTCTTGTAAGTTTGTGACGCAACCGAAACGTATCCGATTACAATATAGATCTTTGAATTGGCATAGCTTGTTTGATCGTGAATGAAACTTTAAGAAAATAAATTGTCCCTACCCACAGCAAATTCTCTCCAAGTGAGTTACAATGATAGCGGAGTCGTGCTCCGTCGTCTTTATGCGTGTGTGACCTCTGTCGCCGTTTATCATCGTTGAGGCAAATCACAAGACAGGTGGGCTATGGTCTGGCTAATAAAGTGGAAAGCACATAAACCTCCATGATATATATGCTGCTTTCCTTACATTGCAGTCATCATGTATGGGGCACATGATACTCACATTAGACTTGAACTGAGCAATACCACTGCTGTGGCTTATGTGAATAATATGGGAGGTACTACGCCCAGCTGTAATGATATGACAAGAACAATGTGGTTATGGTGCAACTGTGAAGCTGATTGGTACTCGAGAAATGTCACTGACGACAAAAAGCGGAAGTTAGATCATAATATCTTCTATAAACTAAGGAGTTTGGAGTTTCATGTAGAGATTTATTTGCATCAAGACTGAATAACCAGTTACCTAGATATATATCATGGTTCCCTGACCCTGGTGCACAAGTTGTGGATGCTTTCAGGTTGTCATGGAAATCTAGTTTTGACTATATCTTCTGTCCATTCAGTGTCTTGGGGAAAGTGCAGCAGAAAATCAAGCTGGATATAGCCGATGTCCTGATGATAGCTCCACTGTGGCCAACTCAGTGTTGGTTCAGCAAGCTACTGGAATTATCAACAGACTGTCCCAGGCTGCTACCAAAGTCCAAGTCCCTTCTGACACTAGCCAACAACGCCGAAGAAGTACACCAATTGCGCGGGAAGCTGAAGCTAACAGCATTCAGCTTATCAGGAAAGTACTGGAAAGTCAAGGCAATCTGGAGCCAGTTATCAACGGCATACTGCAATCATGGAAAAGTTCCACCCACAAGCAGTATGGGCCTTATATCCAAAAGTGGGTGTTGTTTTGCAGTGAGAGATGTGTTAATCCCCTTTCACCATCTGTAGCAGAGGGTCTTAACTTCTTGTAGAGACCATACCAACAAGGTCTGAGCTACTCCGCTATAAATATAGCTCGATCGGCTTTGTCAACACTTGTGAAAATAGACAATAATAGTTTTGGACAGTATGTATTAGTTATCCGCTTTATGAAAGGGATTTTCCACCTTAGACCTGCTTTACCCAAGTACAATGTGACATGGGATGTGTCTCTAGTTCTACAACACTTGAAGGATGTGCCTAAGAATGAACTAAAATCTCTAACTCATACACTTGCCATGATGCTGCTTTTGCTATCTGGACAGAGAGTGCAATCACTACACATGCTTGATTGTAGAAACATGGATATCAGAGAGAAGTATGTGAAGTTAAGATTTGGGGTCTTATTGAAACAGCCCAGGCCTTCATATCACAAAAGGGAGATAACGTTACCTGGCTTCTCAGATCCCAAGCTGTGTATAGTTAGAGTACTAGGTGATTACCTGTATGTTAGAAGTAGTTTAAGGGGTAATGAGACTGTCCTCTCTATGTGTCCATAAGCCACATAAACGAGTGACCAAAGACACCATATGCAGATGGATAAAACGTGATATGTGTTGGCATGAATATGGGCATTTTCAGTCTCCATAGTGTTGCAACAAGTGCAGCTGCATGTGTGAGGGTTCCTCTGAGCACAATCTTGAGAACTGCAGGATGGAGCAGTGACTTGTATATTCAGACAGTTTTTCAACAAACCGATAACCACTGGTGGACAGTTCGGTCAAGCACTGCTGGAGTTTAATGCTAATGGCCATGACAGATGATGAAGTTATCATAATGACAGTGACATTATTGCTAAAACTAAAGACTATTTGACATCTACATGTATATTATAACAGTATGGTTTACATTTTATTACTATGGAAATTACTAAGTAGTTCTCTAGGGACATTTTTCCAGTTTATTAAAAAGTTTTACACAGTGGTTTTGTGATCCTTCTGATTGCATAATGGAGAAAATATGTTGATTGCTCTAAATATCTCATTAGATTCCAAGGTACGGAATAGAGAAGTACGCATAGAGCCTATCAAACGTGCAAGGATGGCTTGTGGGATGTCACGCCAGATTCTCTCGTGTTCTGTTGCAAGGTCAAGGACGTTATCTGGCGGATGAGGAAGACGGCGTAGACGTCGATCCATCTCGTCCCAAACATGCTCTATCGGGGAGAGATCCGGTGAATTTGCAGGCCAAGGCAGTAAGTCAACGTTGTGGTGTTGCAAGAAATCCATAGCAACCCTTGCCGTATTAGGGCGGGCATTGTCCTGTTGGAATGTTAACCCAGGGCCATGACGTTGAGGGAAAGGAATTGCCACAGGTCGAAGAATCTGATCCCTGTAGCCCACACCAATTAAGTTGCCCTGAACAATCACCAAATGAGTTCTTTAGCGTGCTGTTATTCCACCCCAAATCATCACGGAACCACCACCAAAGCGATTCCTCTCCAAGACACAGGCCTGTGCATAACGTTCTCCCACGCGTCTATAGGCACGTTGACGTCCATCGCTATGGGAAATGTTAAACCTGGACTCATCTGTAAAAACAACATTTCTCCACCAAAACAAGGGTCTGCGGACATAATTTCGGCACCACATTCGGCGAGCTTGTCGATGACGTTGTGACAGGATAGGCCGTATGGCGGGACGTCGTGGTCTGATCCCGTGATGACGTAAACGTTGTCGAACAGTGTTGGGGTGGATAGGCGAAGTCCTGGGATGGTTCGGGCAGTCATCACTGTAGTCTGAAACCTGTGGCGAAGATGGGTCACCCTTATCCATATGTCTTGGCGTTGTAACACGTGGACGTCCAGAACGTGGCCGATCGATGACGTCATTTGTGTTCTGGTTGCGTCTCACCGTTGCAGAAATGGTGTTCCGGTGGCAGTGGAAATGTGCAGCCACTTGTCGTTGAGACATTCCCCCACGGACCATCCCAATGGCCTCATGACGTTGTGCAGACGCGAGCCTTGGCATGCTATGCGTTTCAATAGCCGTTTAATTTTTGGAACGATCGCAAGGGCAGGGGTTGAGCTTTACAAAGTGACAGTATTGTGTGGCATTCATTTGCTCTGTTTCTCTTTCCCGGAATGCACGTGCAACATCGTATTGCACATCTCAAGGACGAACCCACTGCCGTCACGGAACGTGGCACGTGCATGCATGTTGGATACATGTCACTAATCTCTTGAGTTTAAATCCTTATGTGTCTACACAGGTTTGATAAATTTAGATTTTAAATTTTTGTATGCACAGTTTCTTTATGTGCCTATGAAGTACAGAGGGATCACATGAGATATCCGCATGCGCATAAACATCAGTGTTCAACTTGAAAATATGACTCTTAAGTACCAAGGGAGGGATACAATGGGTGGGCATGTGATGCCTCTGTATTTAACTTTTAAATTACTGAAACATTTCCCAAAATCATGTCTTTGACTCTTTTAGAAATATTTGACTATATTTAGATAACAAGGAAGTTTCCTCATTCATGGCACAATGCCATTGTCAGCCAGACAGATTAATTATTTGTATAAGTGGCCCTGGGGCCAACAGTACATGTGAAAACTTATAACAGTGAATTTATGCGCAACCCGTAAATACGTGAGTAATAGGAACGTCAATAAATCCATTCACACCCATTAACAATTTACAATTTTTTCCCTCTCAACCTAAGTATGTGGTACAACACAAGGGCTACCTTCAACAATAAGTCAATATTTTCTTTGTGAAGTAGCATACAGAATTAATGTCTCGACGGTTGGTTGAAGAAAAAATAAGGCAAATATTTTTCTCTTATTTCTAAATATTTCGGGCATATAAGTAATGCATGGTACTCGTCTTCTTGAGATAGATTACAAATGGACATTGGATATCTATTACATTTACAGTTTTGGCAAATCGTGCCCCTTGGACTTTGAAGTTGTGGGCGTTAGACCAACTTTAGTAAGTGTACGCCTAATCTTTGAAAGATAAACTTCTGTATTAATACAATATTTATATTCTGAATAAAAGCTGACACAGGTTGATGGCGTTATTTCATTATACCAGTCTTGTTGATAAATGGCTTTGCATCTCTGCTTGAATACTTCGATATTGTGTATTATATTGTGTATTGCTTACATTTGGAGCGAGCCACACATTTCCAAAGCCATGACTAAAGAGAATAGATCTAACGAAGGAAACCCAATTAGTATCTCCAGCATCATCTAATGATTTTAGCATTTCATAACTACATCTTGAATATCGTGAAATTGGTTGTCGCATCAATCTTAGCCAATATGAAATAACCCGACAATGGGCGTCAATAAATAGTGGAAACCGTTTACATTCAGCTACAATAACCTGTAGCCAACACGTAACAAAAACTTACAGAACTTGTACCTTTTCAATATTCTTGTTTATGTTAATGCCCCATATTTTAGAACCGTACAACAAAATTGATTGAATTTTTCCATCAAACAGATAAAATGATGCATGGATCGGTAATTCCTTATATTTACATATGAGTTTCTTTATGACATGTAGGGCTCGTTCAGCTTGCATAGATAATGTTTCACAGGCCCTGGAAAATATATTTCCACAAGAAAATATAATACCTAAATATTTGTAATATGATACCACCTCTAATTTTGGGTCATTAAGGAACCATTTTTCACTATTAGATATTTTACCCCCATTTTTAAAAACCATTACTTTGGTTTACTAATATTGTTCTGAAGACCCCATTTCAAACAATATTCATTTAGAATATCTATCTAGTATTGTAACTGGACTACAGAATTGGCAAGAATCACGACATCCTCTGCAGTATTATACACAAGGGTGGTACGGGACCAGGTCCCAACCCCCCAACCCCGAGTCGTCCCTAATCCCGTATACTACTGTGTTTACTACTACTGGGATGGTTCGGGCAGTCAACCACTGAGTTGCGTGCAAAATTTGACGAAAATAGGTCGAATAGTTTCTGAACTATTGACTTTTAAGTGAGCATGGGGTCGGTAGGGAAAAGGTAAAATGTCCAACTTTTTGTCGTAATTAAGTCTTAATTAATCTAATGAAGTCATCAAGAGTGTTCCCAATGCTGTAGCGTAACCATCTGCCGAGATGCATGCAAACTTTCACGAAAATCGGTCGAACAGTTTAGAAAATAATCACTTTTTAGTGAGCATGGGGTCGGTCTGGCGAAAGGCTAACAATCCAACTATTGTCCTACTTCCTATATATTATCGAGGCGAGAGGTGTTTTTATGTGAATGAAACGCAGGTCTCGGCAGTCATCACCTCGCCACCGTCTCGGGGGTTGCTTTGAGCGAGTGTCGTGGACGAGTATAAGTGTGTGCGTCTCTCGGCTCGGCTATGATGCACGGCCGGCTGACTAGCGAGGCGACAGCTGTGTGAAGCTGAATGAAACGCAGGTGTCGGCAGTCAGCCAGCCAGCCAGTCGGATGTACAGGTCTCGGCAGTCATCACCTCGCTACCGTCTCGGGGGTTGCTTTGAGCGAGTATGCATTCATCCGGGTATCACCGAGCGAGCGCTGTGGGCGAGTCGCAGTGTTTGGCTCGGCTCGGCTTGTACAGCCGACTGGCTGACTAGCCAGGCTACAGATGTCTGAAAGTGAATGAAACAAATATCTCCGCAGTTTCCTCCATGGGTCGTCGTCCAGGTATCACCGAGCGAGCGCTGTGGGCAAATCGCAGTGTTTGGCTCGGCTCGGCTCGGCTTGTACAGCCGACTGGCTGGCTGGCTGGCTGGCTGACAACGTATGCGTCAGGCTGACTAGCGAGGCTACAGATGTCTGAAAGTGAATGAAACACATCTCTTGGCAGTTTCCTCCATGGGTTGTCGTCCCGGTATCACCAAGCGAGCGCTGTGGGCGAGTCAGTGTTTGGTTCGGCTCGGCTTGTATATCCGACTGGCTGGCTGGCTGACAACGTATGCACTCATCCGGGTATCACCGAGCGAGCGCTGTTGGCGAGTCGCAGTGTTTGGTTGGCTCGGCTTGTACAGCCGACTGGCTGGCTGGCTGGCTGGCTCTCTTTGCAGTTCCCCCGGGTCGACTCGCTGCCATCTCGGTAGCATTGAGCGAGCGCTGTGGGCGAGTCGCAGTGTGTGTGTCTCGACTCAGCTATGATGCACGGACGGCTGACTAGCCTCGCTACCGTCTCGGGGGTATTTTTTTCTGTAATGCCGACCGCGTATCGCGTTCACGTTCTAGTTGTTGTTTGATCTTACATATCTGTTGCAAACAAAACCCTCCTATGGTTTCCAGTGTTTTTGCTATTTCATCCATGACTGGGTACAGTCCCATCCCCTCTCTGTGCGTGTGTGTGTGTGTGTGTGTGTGTATATATTATTTTATAAAATAATATTTAATTGGTTTTCCATTAATGTCCGATCGATGTATTTGAGGCTGATAAGGTTTAGATTATCGTATTTTTTTCTATAACACGCACTCCATAGAGGCTCATTAAGGGTGTCGATCCCAGTTTTATGACCATACGACAGCGTTAGTGATTGTGTCTGTCAAACCAGCGTATTATCAACCCAGGCAAAAGTGTTAATTCTGACCTCCCACGAGCGTCAGTGAGATGGTCATCTAATACGAGCGTGGTGTGTGATTTGAAAGTCAAATTTGAATCGAAAAATATCCCGTTGGTAATCAGGGAACGTCAAACCACAAACATTAAGCCAAGTCGTTTGAAGCTAACATGTTGCCTGTGTGACCTGGTATTCGAAAAAACTTGTACATCAAACTCTGGAGTGAAAGACGTGAGAAGGATCCCGTTGTTCGTAATTTTGGAGACGTAACCATCGTTTTTAAAAGATATGTGTGGTGAGGTGAGGGTCATGTCGATCAACTAGTCTGGCTCTTTGAAGTCTGCTAGTGACACCCGCTCGTATATACGTTGTCTTTTAAGTGCAGGACGTACAAGGTGTTTTCCTTGCTGGGCAGATCGAATCCCCTCATGTCCCCAAGATCGGCTAGCATTACGTTGGGATGATGGTTGTTCATCGGGTGTTTTTATACAAAATTACGAAATGTTTTTCAAGTAGTTATCGGATAATTCCTCGGAGGTGC